CTTCTACAAAGATTTTTTCTGTTATTTTCATACACACACACACACACACACACACACACACACACACAAATATACACTGGTCCAATTGGTGCACTTTTGTTCACTTTGGAGATCCCAAAGACAAAACAACTTCTCACAACAAAGCCCTGCTTTAATTTGTGTAACAGTTTGATAAAATGTTAGGTGCACAACAAAATACAAATCAGCTTGCTCACCACTCAATCTTTTGCACAAATAGTTTAAAAGCTATATCTTCTCATACCCCAGATATGGTATTTGAGCATTTGAGCATTCGAGATAAAGCTCAAGGTCTTTAGAAAAATAAATGTTAGTGCAAGGAGGTAGAAGGGAGAGGAAAAGAGAAAGAAAAGAAGACACAAGAAGAAGAATCCAATCCATGTTTTTCTTAGAATGTGAAATTGGTGAAAGCTGGTCTAGGGAGAAGAAAGCAGGTTGAGGACAAGACCAAATGATATGAGAAGGAGAAAGCAGAGAAAGCTCCAGAAGGAAAAACAGAAGAGAGGACACTCCAGTAGAGTGAGTTCTTTTGTATAAGGTGACACCAAAAATAAATCATAGTATGCCCCTCATCCAAAGGAGACTCTTGCATTGGAATATTTAGCAAGCAATGTATGCTAGGAATACAGGCCTTCCTTAACTTACAACAATTCATTTAGTGACCATTCAAAGTTACAATGGCACTGAAAAAAAGTGACTTACGACCATTTTCACACACATAACCATTGCAGCACCCCTATGGACGCATGATTTACTTTTGGATGCTCAACAAGGGGGTTCACATTTATGACCGTTGCAATGTCCTGGGGCTGCGTGATCCCCTTTTGCGACCTTCTGACAAGCAAAGTCAAGGGGAAAGCCAGATTCACTTAACACCTTTGTGATTCACTTAACAACTTCAGCGATTCACTTAATAAAGGTGGCAAGAAAAGACGTAACATGGGGCAAAACTCACTTAACAAACTTCTCCCTTAACAACATAAATTTTAGGCTCCGTTGTAAGTTGAGGACTGCCAACAATTTGGCAGAGCAGCCAAATGGCCGGTGCAGAGAGTCAAACCAACCCCTCCATCTCCACCTACCCTTACCGTGCTTAATCTCTGGAGCATATACATCATTCGCATTCCCAGAATGCAATTGGGTCACGCAGCAGTTGTTTCTGCTGCTGGTGCTGCTGCTGGTGGTCGCAGGGGGTGTCAGGGCATTGGAAAGGGTCCGGTTGACCACAGGAGGAGCCGGCAGGGTTCGGGGCATCTGGCAGGTGCAGCCCGTTTGTGAGAGGCTGCAAGGCTGGCTGGCACCCAGCCGAAGGCAGTCCTCCAACCACCGGCAGAGGACGCTGCAAGTGAACTGGCTGGAATTGTTGTTGTTGATCAGGAGAACCTCGACGAAGCGGAACTCCACAGCTTCGGGGGGCAGCAAGCGGCTGGCTGCTTCCGGCTCCTCCGCCAGGCAGAGTTGCACAAAGTTCTTGTCGAAATGAAAAAAGGCAAAGGGGCCTCCACCTTGGCAAAGTTCCAGGCCCACTTCCTCCTCCTCCTCCTCCTCCTCCTCTCTCCCCTCCTGGGGCAGGGCGGTTGCTCTGGGCTGGCTGCAGGTATCATTGGAGAGGTAATGGTCCAGCGGAAGCACCATGGGCGAGTAGTGGGTGCAGACTTGCTCCTCCCGGTTGAACTTGAGGTACAGAGAGTACTTGGTTGGGTCCGGGTTCTCCAGGGTCCATGAGCAGCCGGTGGAGACGGTAGGGAAAAGGTCCTTCAAGGAAAAGGATCCGTAGAGGACCCCAGAGGCCAAGGCAGAGCAAGCACTTGGAGCCGGATCAAAGCCCCAGGAGAGCCACACCAGACATGATATCACAGACAGTAAGAATGGTCCAGCAGGGTTCATCCTATGACATTTGCCCTTCAGGAGAGAAAAAGAGAAAACCGTTATTCCAGAAGATGGGGAGAAGCCGCAGCAGGACCCATTTCATTGGTACAGAACAGCCCTGCAAGGTGTAAAGGCAGGACTGATATATTCATTTATTAGATTAGATTTTCACCCTGCCTTTTTTATTAAATACAGCACCTCAAGATGACAAACATACCTAATACTTCCTCCTTTGTAATGTAGTCAACAAAGTTTTTTAAAATGTGCATTTAAAAGAAACCAGAATGCTATCTCTATTTTTAATTCTGGGATGGGGAAGAGGGAGGGGGAGGAGAAGGAGGAGGAAATGGGTGGGATTCAAATTTCTTAACAACCGGTTATGTGGACGCAGCCTAATTTTTGGGTATGGGTCGGTGGGCATGTGACTGGGTGGGCATGTCTGGGTGTGGCTTGGTGGTCATATGACTGGCTGGGCATGGCTTGTATGCAAATATTGTAAATATTTATGTAAATATTGATTTTTTTTGTTAAAAAAAGAGCAACTTTACCCAAAATCAGTCAGAGCAGGCAGGCAGATTGAGTTGCTCACAGAATCACAGATTCACTTAGAGATCTATCTTTCTGCAATCTGGTCCCTGAGTCTGTCACATAAAATTTGCTTGCAAGCAAACTCACAAAATTAACTCACAACACACTATGTATGTAAATATTGAATTTTTTATTAAAAAAAGAGCAACTTTTACCCAAAATCAGACAAAGCAGGCAGGCAGATTGAGTTGCTCGCAGATTCTCTTCTATCTGCAATCTGCTACCTGAGTCTGCACTGAAAAATAGAAGCTTCAGTCCTAAGGAAGGTTCAGCTCTGCTTTTAGATTAGTTAGAAAGCAAGAAATTCAACGATTTCCTGCTTTCTAGCTAATCTAAATCTCCCGGTAGAGCAGAACAGCTGATGGTTGGGTGAAAAAAAAGGAAAAATAACTTAGCAGGTAAATTTGATGGTGCGCATGCCAGGTAAGGATTGAGTGGGCAGGTACGGGTGGGGTGGAGCCAGTCAGTGGTACGATTTGCCGGTTGTTCGAACTGGGCAGAATCATAACAACCAGTTCTATAAAACCAGACTGACCAAGTAGAATCCCACCCTGTCTTGAAGCCATTTCAGCTTCTCTAGACTTTCTACCAAATTTGAGACCTCTCCTTGTAAACTAGGGGAGAGAGGGGTTGATTGCCACACTTGGACATTATGTGTTAATTACAAATGTGGACCAATGGATCCTATGGCAGAAGCAAGACAGATCAAGTCTGGAGGTTTTTGGAGATCCACAGGCAAAGTATGACCTTTTAACATGAACATTAGACTCAGCAGTACCTTGCCTTTCCAGAGGGCCTCTCACTCCTTCCTCCCAACTTGCTTTCTTAAAGACATAAAGAAAGTAAGTCTGACTTGGTTTTCCCAAAGGACAGTTCCACACCCAGCTGTTAATAATACATACAGATTTTTTATTTCAATGATCTCACTGCTCGATCCATAACGCTTCCATGACAGTAAAAAATAAGCTAAAACAAATATGCCATGAGGGTGTGTGTGAACCTTTCCCTGTGACATGCATCATACTTGTGCACATAAAAAAGTGAAGAGCTTCAATTACACTGTTGCAGCCAGTAACTTGACTTTTGTTATCAAAACCTGTAGACAGCTCTAAGGTAGAAGCAATGCAGAAGTGCCTTCTGATCAACCAGTAAGCTTTCCTAGAAGGACTTCTATAGACCTCAGTTCCCAGATAAGTTCAGATTTATGACCAGCCTTTCCTCTGATGGTATAATTCAAAATTATTTAGAACTTGAAACCTGAAACCCGTACCTCAAAGACCACCATGAAAGTAACTGGCAAACAGCATTAGCAGATACTGGAGTCTTAGTGGACAACCAGTTAAATATGAGCCAAAAAAGCAGCAGCCCAAAAAGCCAATGCAATCCTAAACTGCATTAACTGAGGGATACAATCAAGATCAAGAGAGGTCCTAATACCACTCTATAAATCCTTAGTAAGACCACACCTAGAGTACTGCATCCAGTTTTGGTCACCACATTACAAAACATGTTGAGATTCTAGAAAAGTGCAGAGAAGAGCAACCAGGGTGATGTGGGGGCTGGAGGTTAAAACATATGAAGAATGGTTACAGGAACTGGACATGGCTAGTCTAGTGAAGAGAAGGACCAGGGGACACATGATAGCAATGTTCCAATATTTGAGGGGCTGCCACAGAGAAGAGCAGGTCAAGCTATTTTCTAAAGCACCTGTGGCCAGACAAGGAATAATGGATGGAAACTGAACAAGGAGAAATTAAATCTAGAAATAAGGAAAAAATTTCTGACAGTGAGAACAATCAACTGATAAAACAGCTTTCTCTACAGAAGTTGTGGAAGCTTCATCACTGGAGGCTTTCAAGAAGAGATTGGACTGCCATCCGTCAGAAATGGTGTAGGGTCTCCTGCTTGGGTAGGGGAGTTGGACTAAATGACCTACAAGATCCCTTCCAACTCTGTTAATCTAATCTAATCTAATCAGATAGTTGTCTCATTTTGCCTAAATTAAAAGATTTGGTCTCTCATCAAAGATTTCCCATGAAGAGCTCATAGCAACTGGAAAATTATTATAAAGAAGGTGACTTTGTCCGCATCTTTTCCCCCCACAAACACTGAGACAGATACTGCATGGAAATGATGCATGCAGAGAGTTGAAATAACAACCGGCACAAGAAGATACCCATATTCAGGTAAAAGTCATACGGTACAGCTTTTGAAGGCATTGTGACACCACCGAAAAAGGAGGAGGAGATGGAAGAATTGGGTCTTCTCTATCTAAAGAAGAACGATGTTAGAAATGTAGGCAATCCTCAACTTACAACCACAATAGAGATCAGAATTTCCTGTTTGCCAAGCAAGGTGGTTGTTAAGTGAGTCACAGCCAATTTTATGACCCTTTTTGCCATGGTTGAGAAGCAAATCACTGCAATTATTAAGGCAATTGTATGATTGTTAAGTGAATCTGCCTTCCCCCATTGACTTTGATGGAAGCCAGCTAGGTAGATCACAAGTGGTGATCACTTGATCCCAAGACTGCAATTGTCATAAATACTTGCCACATGCCAAATGCCTGATATTTTTACATGTGGCCATGGGGATTGTGAGGACTCAGGGGTGGCACAAAGGCAACACAGTCAGATAATCAGTAGGAGTATCTTTATGGGTGCTTTGGAAAATAAATTGCCCCCCTCTTCCTTGTGATAGACCTTCAAATATTGGAAGATGGCTATTGTGTTGCTCCTAAGTCTTCTCTTTGAAGACTTACCTAGTTCTCTTAAAGGCTCATCACAAAATTTAGCATCCAGACCCCTTATCATTGTTGTTGCTCTTCTCTGCACTCTTTCTAGGGTCTCAGCATCTTTTCTGTTTTTGTGATGACCAGAACTGGACACAGTTCCAATTCCAAATGTGGTCTTACTAGTAACTCTATCACTTCTCATGATCTTGATGCTACACATCTGCTGATGCAGCCTAGGACTGCATGGGCTTTTTTGGCAGCTGCAGCACACAGTACTAGCTCTAACTTTGTCCCCAATGGTTACCTTCTGGCTGGAGAAAAACTCTCCAAGGAACAGCCTTTGGCTGCAGAGAATCAAGTCAAAAACATGGTCAACAAAAACTGTAACTATAAGTCCAATCAAGGCAAGATGAGGTAATAAGGCAAGATGAGGCAATTAGTCCAGCAGGACAAGAAAAGGAATTCCAGACATGAGCACAGCAGTAATTCAGTATGGTTGTGAGGATGCATGCTGAGTGTGGCAAGGTCAACACAAGATAGACTCACATTTGTTCCCAGCAGATGCCACACTCAGAACGCATCTCTTTTAAATTCTCTTCCCAGGTGTGGCTAATGAAGGGAATCGGGGTCCTTTCCTCCCCCATAAGCTATGCAACCCACATTGCTTCCTTATCCATTCCTCCCTGCGTGCCCTAGGATGAAGGGGTGGGTTTGGGTCTTCCTCAGAACTCCCTCTCCCTTGTTCTCCCTCTCCTCTGCTCTGCCCAGCTGGACTTTGCCCTTCCCCAGCCAACGGAGCCACACTCCTATTCCCTGTCAGTTGTTTGTCTTCCTCCTCGGTGACTCTGACAGGGGCATGACAGGGATGCTGCAATGGTCATAAGTGCAAGGACTGATCCTATGTTAGTTTTTTCAGTGTTGTCGTAACTTCAAACAGTTGCTAAACAAATGGTTGTAAATAGAGGACTACCTATCATGTTAGGCTACCCCTTTTCTCCCTGATATCTAATTTTAAAAAAGGTTCACTGAGAGCAAAATTCTTCTTCAGCATCCTTCAGTTTGCATAGCTGCACAGGGTTAGGGTTTTATTTTAACCCATTGATCAATACTAAAAGTTATTATTACTGAAGTATCTTTCTTTGTCAAAAAAATTAGGATTAAAAGGAATCCTAATTTGGACTCTAGTGTGTGTCAACAGGGGCATTTCTTTGTAGCACGACCATCTAGAATCATACTAAGAAAAACCCTAGAAGTCATCTACAACTGTGTTTGTCAACCTTAGCAATTTTAAGGTATGTGTACTTCAATTCCCAGAATTCCTCAGCTAGAATTCTTGGCACTGAAGTTCACATATCTTAAACTTGCTTAAAGCATTTGTTCTTCCATGGGGCAGAAAAAAACTCAAAGTAGTAGCATTTACATATTTCTGAAACTATACATGGCGACTGAGAATTTTTCTTTTTACTGGAACTTTTTCAAAACCCAGTTGCTCTTATAGCAGGGCCAGAGTCTTTGACCACCAAAGATTTCCTCCTCAGTCTGGCCGTCTTTCTGTGGTTTATTTATTTATTTAGCATATGGCATATCATATATGAACTAGCAATATATACTACCATTTCACCTAGATAAATAAAACATAATTAAAATATAAATTCTGAGAAAGATCTATGTTCAAACATCAATGCCTGGGCCATTTAACCATTGA